TCTACTATAAAAATTTGTGATTCCTCGTCGTCAAAAAATGACGTCATCAACAATGCCAACTTATATTTGTTTATACTCGGTATTGTTGTGGAACACAACAATGCCGAGTAAACAAATAATGCTTCACAACAAAAACTATCAAGCCAGTCGCATGATCTCTGCTCCAGAAGCAGCACGTGACATTCTTGAATATTGACTTACAGTTGGCCTAAAACATCAGGAAAGTGAAAGAAGACGTTATCAACTATTTGAAGTACCAACTCTAACAACTCCAACAAGGTAAACTGATACTCATTCGATATATTACGATTAAGAAAGTATTATGAAAACTGATTTTATGAACGATTTTAAGACGAAGATTTTCAAGGGTGGGGCTGGACGTAAAAAGTTGACTGAACAAGAACAGTTGGCCTCTGAACAGCGACGTAAAGAACCCCCAAGGGGAGTTGGTCAAGTGTTTTAACCCTCCATTCAGGTTGTTTAGTTTAGTTACACAAAATTATAAAACGCAACCAACCCCCTCGAAGGAGTTGGTTGCATTTTAAAAACTTTACCCCCCCCAGAAGAGGGGTTGGTCAAATGTTTCAACCCTCCATTCGGGGGGGTTAGTTTATTTCCTTACTCAAGATTTTAAAACGCAACCAAACCCCCGAAGGGGTTGGTTGCGTTTTACAAACTTGACCATCCCCCCCGAGGAGCTCCTATAGGAGCGCTCTGCTCTAGTAAATAAAGTTAGGCGTAAACCTAACCTAACTGTAAACTTTCATTTTAGATACAAGTATTAAATACAACATTCTTGTAATTAAGTAATTTTATTTTTTAATAACCATTATTTCAAATACAACTTACACATTCTGAATTTTCGACATGTTAATTTCTGTAATTTTATTTATAACATCAGCTGTAATGTAATCACACATAAAGAGAGCAGCAACAGACAACCAATCATATTCGCAGTTGCATCACTGTGTACCACCATAGTCAATGTTACCAATGCAGCGATGAGCTTAATCACAGCCGTCATTTGCTAAATGCATGCTCGCATCTCGATCAGTGTTTCACAGCGTAAGTTAACCGAGATTGAGAGTGGCAAATACAGAAACACCTGTGATCACAGAAGAGCAGAATTCCAACAGTTGGCTTGGAGAGGTGAGAATAGACGCTGTGAGGCAAGCGGAACTGAAAGGTATTGTATTTCCTGTGATTTCTCTGCCACGTTGTTTTAAGTGTGAAATTCTCGTATTTTAACATTCCCAACAAGGTGAAAAATAAATAATCGTTTATTTTTTATAACCTAACATCAGTGCTTAACCCACCTCCTTTATTCAATATAACTTAACTGTTACAGAAAACATCAAGATGGCCGAGCCATATACCAGCGAAGTAGCTACAGTAGAGGATGTGGATGTTTATTGAAATTACTTATTCGGTAAGTAAAATATACAAATCAAAGCACTGGTTGTAGTCCGAGCAAGGTCGCTCCAACAACGGTGATGGTCGTCATTTCGTTCGACCTATAAGTTGCTTTACGAGGCACCTAAACTTTGCAATGTATGTATAATACAAGCAGCTCCGGCGAAAAGTATGGAGAACAGAGTTAGCTTTGTGCAGCATATCTGCAAGGAGGAAGTGCTCGATTTCCGACATTTTTTGCACGGCCCATAGGTCACCTAATATTAACAGGATGGGCAGAGCATGTAGCTGGGATGGGAGGCAAGAAATGCGTACCTCTTGATAACGGGCCACTTGGAAGACCGAGGAGACGGAACATTTGAGGCTGTTGTAACTGGTTCAGGATAATAGGATGAGGTTTTCACTACAGCAAGTCGGGAGATTGCTGTCTTGTGGGTTGTAGCCAGCCTCGTGGTGTGGTACATTACAGTGAAAATCATCTTTCTTTTCTGTGTCTGGGATAATTTTCTTCTCAGTTGGTATTAATGACAACGTAGTGAGTCTGTCCTGTTTCTGCGTGCTTTATGGGTAGTTATGGACCCTCTTCAAAGTAGATAATGGCCGCTAGACAGAAGCAGCTGATGTTGGAATGGTTAATAATGGGCAGATCATTTTGTGACTTCTGGTGAAGCTGTACTCAGATGAAGTTGTCAGATATTTTGAGCAAGTCTGGAATATTACTTCTTAGAAACTTCTGACAAAAAATTACGGATAGTTCGGTTTTTGGAAGAAATTAATCAAAATACCGTCTGTATGATTTCATTAATGATTCGTAAGTAATAGCTGAAGATTTTACCAAATTATTGCTTTAGGTGAAGAAAAATATTACGATTAGTGAGGTTAGCCTGAACGAGCTGGCTAATGACACCTGTGGTGGACTAGCAGTATCTGGCATCTACAAGCTGGTGTGGCCTGACCTTGTCATGTTTCTGCTCGTTTACTACACCCTTAGTTTCATCTACAGGTTCTCCCTGGATCCAGACCAAAAGAAGTGAGTTTTAAGACTTGGTGCTTCTTGGTGGACGTATTTCTTTTGGTGATGAATGCTAGGGATGGTGCCATGTAAGGTTTGATGTTCGGAATTGCAGAAACTTAGTCTCATCTCTGTCAAGAGCAAAGGAGAACAAGTCTCAAACAAGTTTTTAAATATGTGAAACGAAATTTGGTTTTACTCGTGTTAGATAATGTATTTGAGTCATCGGTTCGCAACGCGGGTGTCGTAAAAACCTTCCAAGGATGCCACAGGAATTTAAACATCTCAATTTTTCCACTTTCATTGATGTTAAAATGTGTTTTTAATTTTCTCGTCTCCCTCCATAATATTTATTTTACTGTTGTGCTGCGTTTCTAGGTAAGTTCATAGGCGTCTAGTAACAGATACTAATACACTAATGTGATATACACCCTACATTTGTCTTTGAAACAAGTCATAAAACTTTTTTTATATTGTATCAAACCAATGAGTATATTTCACGAACTGTAAGAATATTTTGGGGTCACGAAGTGAGACAGAGATGGTGCGAACCTAGTCCCAGAACCGGAAATCCGTTCGAGAGGACAGACCTCGCAGGAGAGAATCAGTACTCCTAATCATCGCGGACTAGAGGTTGGGACTTCCAGGATGAGCGTGGGCGCGTGATGCTTCGGACAATAATGAGGTATATCTGACTCTGTCTCACCATGTTATTCACCATGAACTCTTGAGGAGTAAAGAAATTATTTCCAACAATGGACCACTTTTTTGAAGCTGGTCTTCTTAACAAAAATTAAAAGCCCATGAAGAATTCTGTGGACTATGCTTATCCAAAGCTCTCTAAACACTGGCTGCCCATTACATGGGCTGCCAACATAACGACTAGAGCCAGACTCGATCAAAAGATTCACAATGATGTTGCAGCGAAGACTATCATCGACGAACTGAACAAGTTTCGTGGACAGTGCGGCCTTTTGCTAAGCTATGACTCCATCAGTGTGCCCCTGGTGTATACTCAGGTAAATTGCACGACTGTTCTCTTTATGTTTTTTGCATGTAATGTCATTGCTTCCAATGAACAATCACAAAATTTGTACATCCATTATTCAATGACTTAATAAATAGTTCATTGTTTGTTTACCAGGTGGTGACACTGGCTGTGTACACATATTTTATAACATGCATCATGGGACGACAGTGGGTAGAAGGAATAGATGAAAATCTGCAGAAACAAAGGAACTCCATTGATTTGTACTTCCCTATCTTCACAACATTACAGGCAAGAAGTATTCTGAATAAAAATGTCCTCCATATTCGAGTGCAGATAACTCCGTGGATCTGAAAGGTTTAGTTTATGAAAGTATCACGCCTTGAAGTCGCGTGGCTCTTACCTTGGAGTTAATGAATAGCCAAATATCAGTAAACTAGTTTTTGGCTGTTTTTATGACCTGTAAAAGTGGGAAGATCATCAGTTTTCATGCACGGTTATCAGTGCCATCTGCGATGATCTTTGTGAATGATTCTTTTTAATAATGTACTGCAATTCTCAATAAATGGAAGGAGAATACAATATTTACCAAAATAAATAGCAGTAATAAGTAATATACGATCATCCAACCAGATATAGAGTGACGTGTGGTCAGCACGACGAACCCCCAGCCATTGCTAGCTTTCCTGACTGGATTACGCTACCCATTGTAGCTCCCCACTGTTTGTTTACCAGGTGGTGACATTGGCAGTTTACTCATATTTTGTAGCATGCATCATGGGAAGACAGTGGGTAGACGGAGGAGATGAAAAATTCATTAAGTACTTCCCTATGTTCACAGCATTACAAGCAAGAAGTATTCTGAATAAAAATGTACTCCATATTCGAATGCAGATAACACCATAGATCTACAAGGTTTAGTTTATGAAAGTATCATACCCTGAAGTCATGTAACTCTTACCTTGGAGTTAATGAATATCCAAATATCAGTAAACTAGTTTCTGTGTGTTTATATGACCTGTAAAAGTGAAATGTCTCTGGGAAGATCATCATTTTTCATGTATGGTTATCATCTGCAATGCTCTTTTGTGAATGATTCATTTTAATTATGTACTGTAATTCTCAATAAATGAAAGGAGAATATAATATTTACCAAAATAATAAATAAATAACAGTAATAAGTAATATAAAATGGAATTTAACTTAGAAACTCATATTGATTATGAAAGAGCATTTTACCAGGACAGCAGCAATAAGCTGTGGCAAATATTACAGAAAAGAGGACACCCACTGTACTTTACAGAAGTTGTAAAATTTGTATCTCCGGAAACTGTTGTAGTAGATTTAAATGGATTGTCATATCAGACTTCAATCTCTGCCGTAGACATTCACTTTCACGGAGCCGAGTCCTTCCTGTGTTCGTAGCCGCGTTAAATTTGGGGTCTTCGTTAATGAAAGTGTAGTTCAGCATGCTGCTACATCGCACTAAGTGCCTTTTGGATGTGCAGTTCGTATTCCTTACCTGGATGCACTGGTCTAATAAAGTTAAATGCATAAGAGCTCTGTGGTGTTTAATTGAACTTGCGCAGATGGTCGTGTGTTTGAATCCTGGTAGTCGTTGCTGTTTCGTGCAACAGCCATGTTTCTGTTTCACGTTTTATCAAGAATTACTCTGACAAAAGTAAATAGTGGTTTGAGCAGTATCTTTAACAATTTAAAATGTATTATTTTGTTAAGTTTCTGTAAATTAAAATTATTTATGGTTTCTGTTGTTGTTATAATGAAATGTTGACATGTGAAATAATATGTCAAAGTCTATTTTTCACTTTGTTCAGTTCTTCTTCTACATGGGATGGCTGAAAGTGGCAGAGAGTTTAATTAATCCATTTGGAGAAGATGATGATGATTTTGAAGTAAACTGGCTGGTAGACAGGAACCTACAGGTAAGTGAGAATGCAGATGGGAGAGAGAGATGGCCAGCAGACCAGATTTTGTATGTCTGTCCGAGACCTGGAAAGTAATCATTCATCTGTTCTGTTTTAATTACTATTTCATTCTTTACCCCAGAACATGATGTTCTCTAATTTATAATTATCTTAGACAGGGTGAGTCAGAAGTATGTTTACAAACTTCGTGTTCATGTTCCAGGATCAAAAATAAAAAAAAATGTTCCTATGAGAAAGGGGTCTCAAATGTTTCATTTTCGAAATAATGGCCAAAAATAAGTTTCCACGATGCACTTCTTCTACAAGCAATTCATGGCTCAGCTCTTTCTGCAATAACGAAAGCAGATCGTTGACGGCAGTAACGTAACAGAACAATGCCGAGTAAACAGATGACGTTTCCTTGGTAAAACAATGCACACAAGGTGACTGTTGTCGGTCCATATTTACACATTCTTGCTTAGGATCTTACACGTTTTCCTATGTAACAACAATGCCGAGTAAACACGACTTTGACAGCATCTTCCCACCTTTCTCTAGGTCTTCTCATCATTCTTGTCCCTTAATTTGTTGATACAGATCTTACACATTTTAGTTACACATTTACCTTTAAAACTTAGTATTTAGGCCTTTCTTACGGTTTCTTGTGCCATCCATCCTTACAAATGACCCTTCTGTATAGACGTATTTACGTCAATATATGTTTAACAAGTTCAGATTCTTTATATAGCGCGTATAACTCCTGGTTATATCTTACCCTCCACTCATCATTGACTTTAACTGGGCTCCAAATCCTTCTTAGCATTTTCCTTTCAAACACCCTCTGTCCTGAAACACAGAGAGAACTAAACAAGTGTTTTGTTGTGAAAGTAGAATACAGGAAAAACTCAAAATATAAGAATATATGAAAAACCTTTTGAAAATGTCAAGGTTTAAGTAGCTGAAAATTATGGCAATAAAAAATTATTTATTTAAGATAAAACTAAACCCAGGAAATGCATTGTACTTTGCAGTAAACATTAAGGTAAAATATTGATTTGTCCTTTTTTATGTGTGTTCACAGCATCCTTATAAGTTAATTTTTTCCATCCAGCTGTACATCTCAAGAAGGGCAGAACAGATTGTCATGATATTTGGAATGAGTAGTATGCCATGATCCTATTTTCTACAATCAATAATACCAATGTGATGAAAGCTAAAAGTCATAAGGTGAGAGTATATTCCTCCATTACCCATGATCCTTTGTGAAGATGTGATGATGTCACTCATATGCATGTAATGACTTGAGAATGGCTGGATGGATTATCATGAAATTGGGTTTGAACATTATGCCTTTTGAGGTATACTCCAAATTCATACAAATATTTCCTACAGCTGGTCATACCAACATGACAGTTACTGAAAGTGATGATGTGGGAATGGATGGAATGTATTCCTTCATGATAATGTCACTATCCTTAATGAAATCTTCCATTGTGTTATCACTGCTGACCTTACCAGGCCCTCAAAGGGCCTGGTTCACCACCACTTCTCCAAACTTTGTGGTCGATGAACAGTCACCACCTTTCCCCTTTACTGCTGCAAATCTTTCCCTGTCTAACATGGTCACCAGTAGCTGCTTTGTCACATCCTCTCAAAATTCTGTCACCTCATTTCCTCAACCTCAAGCTTCTCTTCCATTGGACAGCAGCATCAAATGTATCTCTCCACTCACTCCCTGCCCTTTACAAGGCCCCTGGAACATATGTACCTTGAAA